AGGGGGGGGAGTCGGGCCACCTGAGGGTGGCTCGGCTCATGCCGAGCCACCCTGAGGTGGCTGCTCGGCCCCCGAGCCACCCTAGGGTGGCTCGGCTTGGGCCGAGCCACCTTAGGGTGGTTCGGTTCGGGCCGAGTTCCCCCAGGTGCGCTGGTTTTGTCGTTTTCCGTTGTTTCCGGTTGTTTTGTCCGTTGTTCGGTTGTTTTGTTGATTTGTTGACTTGATTCCGGATTTGGCAGTAAACTCAGTCGGTGTTTGAGTTCAAATCCACTTTGTTGGAAGACCCGTCGACTCCCCGAACCACTAACGTTGTTCACATGCAGTTCGTTAGCTTTGTAGCCTCTTTAGTTCGTTTCGTTGCTTGAACGTTCGTCGATTTGTCGAATCATCGCGCCGAGCTGTGTCAAGGGACCTATAAGCAGTTTTATACGCCTACAGATACCCCCTCCAAAGCTTTTCAGCCTCGTTCTTTTATAGAAGAGTCTGGAATGCTTTGGATATGATTGCCCCTACCCTTTGTCGGTGTAACGGGACCTGGAAATGACTTTTGTTCTGTATTCCTTCAATCCTTCGGGCCATTCAGTGCTTTGTAGAATGCCTGTAGGGGTTCCGGTGCTGCATTTATTGTCTGACCGTTGTTGGAATTTGAACTTTGAAGTCGATTCCTGATTTTTTCAATCTTTAACTCGTGTTGGTTGGTTCGACGTGCAACTAACGCTCGATTGTCGGTGTTGAATCCTCACTTGTGACACGTTGTCCGACGTCGTGTTATTGAGTTATCCTTAAGAATATTTTTAGAAAAATATTCTCCAGGAACTTCTCAACAACAATAGGAAATAGTTTATACTCGTATACCTTATTGGAGTATTTCCGTGCTCAAATGATCAGAACCGGTCCAAAGATGTCTCAAAAAAGGCAGTATTTGGGCTCAAAATCTTTCTGACCCTTCCCAATATGTGGGAGAGGGGTTAACTAGGTGAGGGATCGAACCATTGATTGATCTGAATTCGTTTCGATGCTTAATTTAGCTCCAATTTGAATTCTGGTTCGAATTTGGTTCAAACTGGTTCGAAATTGACCCAAACTGGTCCAATCTAACTCAATCTGGTTCAATCTGGCCTATTCTGGCTCACTCTGGTCTGGTCTAGTCCAGCCAGGTTCAATCTGGTTCAATTGGGCTCATTCTGGCTCAATTTGGCTCATTCTGGCTCAGTCTGGTCCAATTTGGCTTGGTCTGGTTCAGTCTGGTCTGGTCTGGTTCAGCCAGATCTGGTTTAAGGCTATAAAAGAGGGTTTTTTGGCTTCTTTTTTCTTCTCTTCCTCCTCTCTTCTAGGGCCGGCCCCCCCCTCTTCCTCCTTTTTGAGTTTTCTCTTCCCTCGAGCGTCTTTTCTCCTCGAAACTTTGATATTTATCCGAGATCTGGGTTTCCTTTTGATCTTTGACTGAGAGATCCTTCAAAAAATCATTTTTTAGAATTCCTCTCAGACCCCTCGAGCACGTGGTGAAAGTTTCCTAAAAGGTCTCATCTTCGTTGGATCTCGAGCCTTTCTTCAGGTAAATCTTCCACAATTTGGATCTTTTTCATGCTCAATTTAATTCATGCATTTGTGGGGTTATATGTGAGGGTTGAGGGTGTGATTTGATGCCTCGAGCTAATCTTTCAGGGGGGTAAAAATGCAATTTTGAGGGGTTTTTATGCAAAAATTAGGGCTGAAATTATTTTTTGAATCTAACCCTTTGAGTTATTTTGCAGGCCGTCATGTCTCGCGCCTCGAGAGGTCGTTCCCCTGCCATGTCGGTTGATGGCGCGCCTCCCTCTTATGCTGGTGAGCTACTTTTTGCAAATAAACCCTTTTTTCTTATAAATTTGTAAATTGACCCTTTTTTAAACCCCACGTTGTTCTCCTTGGCGAGGCAATCGGGAAGAGCCTTGATTCTCCTTGGTGAGGATCGACGCTTCAAAGATATGTTTTGCTTGGTCAAAACCATATCTCAAAATTAAAGGGGGCGATTTGACACTACATTGCGTTTTATAAGGCAGGGATATGTTGTCGACATACCCTGTTTTGTGATTGCACAATGTGGCCAAATCGTCTCACCCTTTATAAGGCAATGACTCTATCTTAGCTATTTGTAAGATGAGTTCAATTTCCTTTTATAATCGAGACTAACCAGTGTTTAACTGTCTATTTTGCAGTGGGGTACCCTTCTGGATCATTCCCGTCCCACGCAATATATGGACGGCGTGGCGAGCATTATTCGAACTCCAACGATCCTTCCCCTATTCCAGCTACCCCTCAGTTTGCTTCGGACACGTCGACTGAGGTTGCCCAAGTGGTGAGGGAAGGTGGTCATCGAGCTATTCGCCAGCTAATCACAGATGCGCCTTTTGTGAAGGACGCCAGCTCTACTCAGCCTCTTCGAAAGAGCGATTTCCTATTTGGTGATTCTGTCGATGACCCAGAAGCCGTATTCATTGGTGCTGAGCATTGGCTTCACAAGACCGGCAATGGCTTCATATACTTGCCGGAGATTCCTCGGCATCGTTCATTGACTGAGCTCAGATGTCAGGCTGTGACACGGGAGATGTCGTGGCGCTTGACAGAGGATCATATGAGTGTCCATTGCGGCTATATCACTCATTCGGCGGTTCCTGGTTCGTGCAGAAGTCGTGTTACCGGATTGCGTCCTGGTGTATTGGGGCTGGACGAACCACCACGTAACGAGTTCCTTGCTACCGCTTCCACCTTGAGGAATCGTCTCGCTGTTCTGGGACGGGAGATGCCAGCGACACGTCACAGGTTTTACGGTTGGGTCCACTCTTCGGACAAGTCTTGGTGGAGCCGCATGACGACATACGTCTTGAGCCGATGGGGCGAGGAGTTGCATGCTTGCGGTTTGTATGCAGCCGTTCGTGCCACCGTGTATGGCTTGCCTATCAGTTTGAGACATTTCTGTGCTTTGTTCGAGCTATATAATCCAGACTCGAACACTTTTCTGACCCGGCAGGGGGAGTTAGGCTTGGCTCTTCACGAGATGCACAGGATTTCTGGCTTGTCCATGGGACAGATGCTATACCAGGAGTACTTTCCTTCCAGTCATGAGTTGAGCCAATTAAAAGATCGCATGCCTGACCGTTATGAGACTCTATGGGACCTCACTTGTCATTACCATATTGCTTTGGCACAGTCGGAGCCCTTAGCAAAGAGGACCAAGGTATGTGTGAGTCTGAAACAATTTGCGAACTACTTGTTCAAGAATCTGGAGAGCACTCATGGCGAGGATATTTGTGAGCTGGCCCCATTCACTCCTTCAGAGGTGAACAGTCTACTGAAGAAGATCGGCGCTCAATCTTACACCACCGGCGGTCCTGAGGGTGGCTTTCCTGCGAAGACCAAGTTCAAGTCATTCTTGTGGCACGCTACCGCACCAATTCGACCAATGACACTTCTTGCTGGCTTTCTTGCTATCTGGTTGAAAAAGTGCGTGGTTCCATATCAGTCTGGCGACGCCTTGCCCTTGGAGGTACTTTACCCAGCAGTTCAGCTCGCCTATAAGAAGGAACTCTCACTTCTTCCGGTGATGGTGGCTAATATTCACCGAGGACTTCGACAGCTTTCCAGTGCGTTCACACGGAAGGAGACCGATTTACCAGGTCAGATTCCCACGCTTAAGGTGGAGCTCCCGTACGCTTATCTGATGGCCTGGTTTGTCCTTCATCGCTCGGATATGATGTCGGTGCCGAACGCCACAGACCATTCTGTTCCCCTGCTACAGTTGCTTGAGAATGGCAGGTGGGAGGGCCGCGGATTTTCTGATGTCAGACAGCAGTTGCAGGTCCATAAGTGTTGGGCATTCTCTACTTGTTTTCCGCAGTTCTCCGGTCGATATGGTGAATGCTTGATAGATGATGAGAGGCCTAGAGAGTACCGGACTTATTTAGACATCGGCTGCTTCAACTGGCTAGTGAATATTAGGCCCGGCTATCTGACTTTCCGGGTGAGGGATCAGTGCTTCATCGAACCATATCTACCGTGCCGATTCGCTCGCCAGTTTGGCTATGACCAGCTTTACATTGGGAATCCTCGTCAGCAGCTTCGTACTCATAGTGGTTTGATAGACGGTCTCCGCGCTTGGTTGTGGACCGTGACTGGCTGTACTGGTGTTAGATTTAGTCTCCCGAGTGCTGACCGGCAGTTGAACCTTACTTTCTTGAGCTGCAAATGGTTGTTAGCAGCCAACAAGACTATCCCTGTGAAGCCAATCGCAGAGTTAGAGGCTGAGGCAGCTTCCCAGGTTGATTCCCGCAGGATTCGGGAAAACGCCCGGGCACAGAGGATACGGAACAAGACTCGTCGGATTGACGAAGAGGGACAGAGGACATTCCATTCCACAGACGAGGCTTCGGGCGGGGATCCCGAAGATTACGATGACTTTTCCGAGCGAGGTTTGCACTTCATCTTTTTCTTCTATCTTCCAGAAGTGTTGAAACTGACTATGGTTTGATGTTCCAGATACCACAGTTGATCAGGATGAAGATTTCCGTCCTCCTCCTCAGGCGAGACCTTCGATCCCTATTGCTAGGCGGAAGAGATTGGCCCGCAAACCTCGTGTAGCTTCACGAGCATCTGACATGGATCTGGCTGGAGATGACCCTATTAGTGACAGAGGTAACGTCTACTCTTTGAACCATTTTCTTGGTTATTCTGAACATTGACTCATGCTTTTCCATTTCTATATAGGAGTGCGTGGGGAGGATGAGATGAGTCCCGATCCTGTTCCCTTATCTCCCGATGAGTCTGACCCACTACCCCCTGTAGAGAAGTCTACAGGGGTTGCTGACATTAGGGAGGAGATCAGTGTAGGACCAGATTCTGTGAGTCAAGGTACATCTATCACTGACAGCGTATTTCTTTAGATAATACATTAATGAATTTGTGTATCCTCTAACTGTCCTCTACTCCTTGCTCCTTCAGATAATTTGCAGGAGGCGAACCTTGGAAACGAAGAGGCTGATGCACCCGTGAGAGGTAACTCATTTCCATTAGTTGTAGTCTCTTCATTATTCTTTGGCACTTATATTCTTTTATGTCAGATTTCTCCATCGACGATTTTGACGAGGGAAGCCTGTTTGCGGACACTCCTATGATGCACTACATATATAGCTCACCTCAGATTGATGACCAGCTACCTGGAGACATGTTTCCTGAGTCCGCATTTGCTAACAATCCTGAGGATGGTTCCTTTGAAGGTATGTGCCTCCTGCTGAGTTGATTATAGGACTAGTCGACCTTGACTAATGCAGCTATAATGTAACGCCTCTGCGAATTCTGTTTTGAATTTGACAGGAGCTTTTGTTGAGAAAGACCATGTTGAGCCGGCTGTGCGACCAACTCCACCAGTCGATGCAGCTACAGTTGTTACATCTCCATCACCCCCAGTGACTCGAGGGGAAGGAGGTATAATTTAATTAGCTGAGCGATGCCGTTCATTTCCTCATTGAGGCTTTTGACGAACTTCTCTTCTTTGTGTAGGGCTTCCTTCTCAGCTTCATATCCTCGTTAAGGAGTTGTTATCAGGGGATGACCCTGAGAAGATCATCATCAGCGTAGAAGTCCGCTCTTATTTCTCCTCCCTGACTGTTATAATTGGCAAACTCCTCCACGACGGACTTTCTCTTCGCCAATTTAAGCCCTACCTCGATTCCAAGATAAACTTGATTAGGGACATAGGATGTCCGGATCTAGCGACGGCTATGGTTGATGACCTTGATCGCTTAGAGCGTGAGCTTCAGATGTTTCATGAGCTCCGGGATACAGGTGCCTCTTCATTCGTTGCTGCCGAGTTGGATGCTCGCTTACAGACATGGCGCAGTACTCGGATGGTTGCTGAGCTCGAGATTCAGGTGCAGCGGGACCGCATAGATCGAGTTGAGGCTGATTTCGCCACTAGATCTTCTTTCCTCGAGGAGCTTGATTCTCAGATAGATCAGCTCCGACGAGAACTCCGTGAGAAGGAAGACACAAAGATGCAGAATCAGCAAGCAAATGCTGCTTTATCTGATGAGCTGAAGTCCTTGAAGCAGAGACTGGCTGAGACAGAGGAGGATGCTGTGAGGACTTTAGCTGCGAACGAAGAGTCTGTTAGAGCTGAGTTGCAGGAGGAGCTTAGACGCTCTTATGACGAGAAGTTATCTGAATTCAGTCAGCAGATTCTTAGCCATGGGCTTGATGTATGATTTTATTTGCTGAAAACCTTGACATTTGATTCTCTTTAGTGGAATTGGTTTTTATCTTTATCTTTATTATGATTCCTCATCACGTTTGAAATGATTGACCATAATACTCATAGGATTTTTGGCAAACCCCCAGCCTTCAACGGGTTTGATTAGCCTTTACCGACTACCGTTTGAGTCGGGCTAGCATGCGGATTATCGGAATCCGTTCCGCATGTAACGTTGTGCTAAGGGAATGAACTCCCTTAGACTTCGTGCTATGATGTCGAATACATAGACTTCGCCATTGTTACGGGAATAGGCTACCCGGCGACACGTGTTAGGTGTTGACTTTAGGATTTTTGGCTAACCCCCAGCCTTCAACGGGTTTGATTAGCCTTTACCGACTACCGTTTGAGTCGGGCTAGCATGCGGATTGTCGGAATCCGTTCCGCATGTAACGTTGTGCTAAGGGAATGAACTCCCTTAGACTTCGTGCTATGATGTCGAATACATAGACTTCGCCATTGTTACGGGAATAGGCTACCCGGCGACACGTGTTAGGT